AACACAGAATCTTATTATTTTTTTTAATCCACAAAAGTGGACTAGCAATTATATTTATCTTCTTTGATGTTTTGTTTTATTACCTTGTGATAACTCAGATGCTACGAGAGTTGAATCAGACTGATACCAATATGAAAATGACTTAACTCATCAACTCTTTTTAACACACAGTTATTGAGCCTGTTGTATACACCTGTCATGGGTTCTAGCACTAGATCTACTTTTTCAGTTCTGAAAACAAAACAGACTAAGAAGCCATCTGGGTGGTTAGCTGTCAAACTGAGGAGTTTGGCTGACTATTAAAGATAGGTGGCTTTAGATGTTGGAGAGTTTTCATGCACAATGAATGAAACTGCTAAATAATAATTTGGTAAATAATAAAGAAGTGGTGGAGATGGATTTCTTAGCTCACTATTTTGTTCAGACATTGTGGTCTCAACTTATTTAAATATCTGTAAATGTTTAATATCACTGATTGCCCTGTCTCATGCTTTATTCTTTAAAAAAAGTTACATAATATTTGATACATGCAAAAGGTTATATAAATCTATAAATTAGTAGAACATTATCAATACATTGAAGCTACTGTGTGAGGAGGAGCTTAACTCGTTTACTGCATTATTACAGCTTACTAAACATTATTGGTCAATAATTAAATATTTCCAGAATGCCACCTCTCTGTCTCCTGCCAAGCATCTGGTGTGGGCCTGGGGTCTTTGTTGGTCAGTCAGTTTAGTGTTTGGGAAAAACAGATGGACACGGACCAGAGGGGTGTGAGGACGAGCGGGCATCGGTGTCTGTCACCACATCTAACCAAGAAGAGAGAATCAGCGGCTGCCGCAGTTCCTCCTCCTCCTCCGTCTGAAGTGAATTCCTCTTTTGGCCAACTCTGCCTGGAGCCATTTGTGGCCAGGGATTCTGGGAAATGTAGTTCCACCTAAGTCGAGTTGATACAGTACAAACCAGCACAGGTTCCTGTACTTGTTTGTTGTATTGTAAACAAGAGAGACATTCAGAATTATTTCTGCTTAGAAGATATCAGAAGAGTTATTTAAGATACCAGAATAGTTTAAAAATAGAGTTTAACTTGATTTATATCATTGTTTCCTTTTCCATTAAACTATATCTTTATTTTCAAAGCCATGAGATAACTTTAAACAGGAGTAACATAATCTTACCTTCTTCTCTTGAAAGAATTCTTTTAATTTGATAAGTAATTTGAACCTCGAGCTAAAAGAAACAAGACAAAATAATAAAAAATATTATCCAGTACAGTGCCATCTAGTGATAAATAATTTCCTTTCTGGTTGAAGATCACTACTACATTTTACTTCTTGATAAATCAAGAACTTCTCTTTTTTTTGGCTGTGTTGGGTCTTTATTGTGGTGCGCGGGCTTCTCATTGCTGTGGCTTCTCTTGTTGCAGAGCACATGCTCTAGGCATGTGGGCTTCAGTAGTTGTAGCACGTGGGCTCAGTAGTTGTGGCTCTCAGGCTTCAGTAGTTGCAGTGCGTGGGCTCAGTAGTTGTGGCTTGCGGGCTCTAGAGCGCAAGCTCAGTAGTTGTGGCGCACGGGCTTAGTTGCTCCGTGGCATGTGGGATCTTCCTGGACCAGGGATGGAACCTGTGTCGCCTGCATTGACAGGTGGATTCTCAACCACTGTACCACCAGGGAAGTCCCAAGAACTTCATTTTTAATCATGCCAAATAATTTACTTTCTGGTTGCAGATCGCTACTACATTTTACTTCTTGATAAATCAAGAACTTCATTTTTAATCATGCCTAACTCCTAAGACATATTAGGGGACTATTCCTAAATAAACCAAATATTTGCAAATAATTAAAAATAACCAGGAAAAAAAAGAGCTAGGGGGCTTCCCTGGTGGCGCAGTGGTTGAGAGTCCGTCTGCCGATGCAGGGGACGTGGGTTCATGCCCCGGTCCGGGAAGATCCCACATGCCGCGGAGCGGCTGGGCCCGTGAGCCATGGCCGCTGAGCCTGCGCGTCCAGATCCTGTGCTCCACAATGGGAGAGCCCACAACAGTGAGAGGCCTGCGTACTGCAAAAAAAAAAAAAAAAGAGCTAGGAAAGTTCTTTTATCCTCAGATTTTATTCTACACCTACATCTGCATATGCAATGAGTCACAATTTGTCCATTTACTGGATGCCATTTGGAGGAGGAAAAATTTTTTGTTTTTGAAAAGAATAGGATTATTTTAGAAGCGTGACGTAGTGGAATGAACGTGGGCTTTAAAATCAGGCAGGCAAAGGTTTGTCTTTTGACCTTATTTTTCTTATGATCTGCCAGGCAGTGTTCCAAGAACTTTATATGTACTGAATCATTAAATATTCACGAAAACCTGATGAGGCGTTTTGCAAATGAGGAAACCAAGGCTCACAGAACAGTTAAGTGTTAGGGTGCTTATCTCATTGCTTTTGGGTTATTTGTGTATTTGTTTTTCTAAAACAGAGTGACTCTTTGCAGGGAAGGTCTTATTAGTATTTGTTTTCCCAGCACCTAGTACAGGTTCATATGTCTCCAATTCAGCTGGTGAATATTTGATTTATTGATTTTTTTTTCCATAAAATGAAGACACAATAGTCACAACAAGACAATATAAAATTAAATTGTTTAGTTAAAATATCAGTGTTTTCTCTGTTTTCTTTGAGTGAAAAAAATATGTAATTTTAAAAAAATTACACAGTGAGAAATCCTAGGTTCTAGTCTCTAGATTTAATTTTAATCTCTGTTATACATGCACAGAATTCAAAGAGTCCAGGGGTTGTACAAGGCTTGTTACAAAACTCAGCAGTCTCCCAACTCTTACCCCCACCCCAGTCCCTGCTCTCTGAAGTTCAACTCTGAGACCTAATTGTTTTGTTATTTACCTCCAGATCTCCAAATAGCATGTTGCTTTTTTTCCAGTTTTAATTTTTCAGTCTTATGCATTACCTTTGACTTCTCATGATAGGGGAAGAGGTTTTATCTTTCTTATGCACCCTCACTCTATATGCAGAACCCTCCTACCTTCTCGTTATAATTAAATTTTGAATGATAATCAGTGTTTACATTATTATGACCATGAAAACATTATTCACAGCTGAGGCATATAATCCATGATTACTTTTTCTTTCCAACACAGCTTTTTGTTTTCCCTGGTGTTAATAATTGTCTTTTTTTGGAGAGAAGACGTTTGCTTACTTAGAGTTTATGTATTTGTCACTTATTCCTCCCTAAACTCTTCCCCAGATATCTAAATATAGTTAGGGTATGTGACCTTGACCCTGTTGTTTAACTCTTCAGCTAAAATATTTTGTCATTTATGGTGTGAAAGGTCCAGACGACATGAAGACTTACGCTACTCGTATCTTTAAAACTTTATGGTTGCATGAAACAGACATCTGGATATTTTGTGCTGATCACATCCTTAGTGGACAGCACTGCCAGCCAGCACACAGTCCTCCTATCTGACCTTGGTGGTCTTTTCTTGGGTTGCTGGAGCATCTCTACTCCAGGGCAGCATGGGACTCAAGGTCTGGCTGGAAGTGGAGCCCCACTTGTATGTGACCAAGACTGCTAGTCAGCAAAAGCTGTGTCAAGCATGCATCACAAGCTAGCAATACCCTCAGTCCATCCAGAAGATCAGAGATTCTTTGATTAGGGAAATTTACTTGAGTCTGTTTTTTTTTTTTTTTTTTACTTGAGTCTTTTGACAGGTGGAAGCACTGGTTATCTTTTATAGTGAATAGTCATAGAAGGAGAGTGGATACATAAAGTTGCCAGGGTGAAATACAGAATAAATGGCATAGAAGATATGAGCAGACATTAATTAAAATTTTGTTTGAAACAAAAATAAAACAGAAAAAACCCTTGGCAGTAGCTTCTCGGAGATTGTTGGAAGAAATAATGTTGGAGACCTAAGCATGAATGATCCAGTGACTCTGAGCTTTGTGGATGTTTTGTTTACCTCCATCGTAGACCTGGTATGCTTGTGAATAGTGTCTGAGATGTTATTTGGGGGGATGTCATAATTACTTTATCTATGTGTAGAAGAAAAACTAGAGGACAGAATGAGTCTGTCCTGTTTTCATAGAGAGTTTGCTACAGAAGCTGTCATTATCGACGGCCAGCACTAGGAGGCCACAGAGACCGTGATTCTGAAGGACTCAGGTTCATGCATCTTTCCTGTTGGAGTTGAAAAAGAAACGTAGGGTAAAAAGCCCAGTTGATGTGCTGTAAAAACTTAAAATTTAGGAACAGATAAACTAGATCATCATCCTAGTTTTCATAATGCAGTGATAAATGAGTTGAAAATATGCAACGCTGCTTCTTTATATGCTTGTGACGTTGTTTGTAAATAAAGTAAGCAAAGTGTATTCTTACTAATGCACTTTTTAAAATTGTACTTCTGGTTTTCAGTTCTTGAACCTCTGGATCCAGGCCCTGACTACCTTAGGCTTGGATGATTTCAGTAGCTTCTTAATTGATGACACTTTTGGTCTCATTTTCCTCCAATCCATTCTATTTATTGAAAACTAGAGTTTTCATCGGAAATAGTTTTGGTCACATGTGTCCTCTGACTAGAAACCTTTTTTTTCAAACCCAAAAGACCCAGACACATGTTCATGGTTTGGAAGACTCAATATTGTTAAGATGCCCATTTCTTCCCAACTTGATCTATATACATTGAAGGCCATCCTAATCAAAATCCTAACATGCCTTTTCTAGGAATTGACAAGATCATGCTTAAATGCTTATATTTATGTCAAAATGTATTGATCCTAGAAGAGCTAAAACAGTCTTGAAAAAGAAAAATAAAGTTAGATGAGTTACACCCACCTAATGTCAAGACAATATAAAGCCACAGTAAACAACATGGTGTTTATGTAAGGAGAAGCATAGAGCAACATAACAGAAGAAAGAGTACAGAAACAGAGCTATACATATGTAAGCTACTGATTTTTAACAAACTTTAAGGTAATTCAATGGCAAAGAGCTTTATATTTTTAATAAATGCTCCTGGAACAAGTAGACATCCTATACCAAAAATTAATAAACAAACAAAAATCCTCCTCCCCCATGCCAGACATAAAATTTAATTAAAATATACCATAGACCTAAACATAAGGGCAAAATCATAAAAATTCTAGAAGGAAACAGGAGAACATCCTTGTGGGCTTTGAATAGGCACACTTTTTGCAGAATACCAAAAACACTGAATATTAAGCCTAATTTATATTTTGGTCAGGATTAAAATCATCTGTTCTTCAAAAAGCTGTTAAGAGAATTAAAAGATAAGCCATGAACTAGGAGAAAATATTTGCAATATATTTATCTGATAAAAGAACTGTATCCAAAAATAACCTATATAATGCCTTAACTCTAACCTAAGGAGAAATAATTTTAAATAAATAATTAATTTTAAATGACGTGTTACAATGCATAACTGATGTTGTAAGATGCTTACAATTAGAGAGAGAATTATTCTGAAGGGGACAGCTGGGAATTCAGAATGATACCAGGGAGAGGCTTGCTGTCTATAACGTGAAGGATTGTTGTAAGTCTCTGAACAAAACTATTTTGTTTTCATGGTTTTTGAATATATATTAAAACTATGCAAAATGTAAAAAAACAAAAGAATAAGGTGGTCTTTTATTTCTCTGTCTTTCCTGTTAGTGCTAAATATAATATTCTAAAAAGGGAAATATTACCTTAATGACTGTAGCACATCCTACTGGCTGCTTTCCCTGCGACCTTTCACCACTCTCTTCTTTTCTAACAGAATCTCTGTTTGGGGATTTTCTTTGATTTGCAGACAGAGGTATTTGGCTAACTCCTCCCGCTTCAGTCTCAGTTTAGATTCTCCAGTCTCTCACAGCTCCATGTACGTCTCCTGTCATGGACTTGCTATACTGTGCTGTGATGGATCACTGTTGGTACCACAATTGACCACAAGCTCTGAGAGAGCAGGAACTTTCTCTTACTCACAGTTGTGCTCTTAGGAACTAGCCTGGTGCCTGGTGACTGATAAGTTTTTAATATCTATATTTGTTCATATTACCCTGAAAGTAGACACAGGGTTCCTGAGGCAGGGATAGATTATTACTTACGTCAGTAACCTAAGACAAGAGGCTCTGAGTTTGTAACTCTGGAATGTCTCCATGACCCTGGTTTCATCATCCTTCTGAAATGTGAACACATACCTCAGGGAAGATCAATCTTTTACTATCTATTTAGTCATTTTTTAAGTTTTAAGGCTTGTCCTTTAACCCAGGTCCCAGTAAATTTTCGCAGAAATCTCTAACTGTGCAGAAGTACAAAAATACTCGCTTCATGACAGTTATAGAGTAGGTGCTCAATAAACTATTTGTTAAGTGTTGAACAATTTAAAAGAATAAATTCAACCCAGTGATCTCAACTGGGGCAGGGATTGGGGGCTTTAGTGGTGGGATGTGGGGAAAGTGTAGCAGAATCATGTGGGGGAATTTTTTCTCAACAATATACTTCCTACCCCCAGATTCTGACCTGCTCCTGTTAACTGTCATATGCCTTAGGCATTTGGTTTTTTTGTGGCCAAAAAGGAGTTGAGAACCCGGACGTAGCCTGCCCTGTGTTTGTATCCCTTCTGTGTAGCCTTTCCTATTAAAGTTAGTAATGGAGCCATTTGTCTTCACACCTGATCCCAAGGCTGCTGTGTCAGTGTTTACATTTATTCCAAATGATTCTTCTATTTCGTGTTTTTTACGTAGATTTGGTGGGATTTCTTAAAGGGTGTTTCTTTTATTGATAGCTTGCCTTTCTTCAGAGAGAGTCTGAGGCAACTCTACAGCAAAAATACATAAAATGAAAAAGCATGTAACAGAAAATCAGAACTAAGAAAAAGGTGAGAAACATGCTGATTGATTTAAATTCAGATTTGGTTCTGGTTTTTTTTTTTGAGGTATAATTGACAGACATTATATTAATTTCAGGTGTACAACATAATGATTTGATATTTGCATGTATTGGGAAGTGATCACAACAGTAAGTCGCATTAGCATCTGTCACCATACAGATTTTTTTTTTCTTGTGATGAGAACTTTTAAGATTTACTTTCGTAGCAACTTTCAAATATGCACTACGATATTATTAACTGTGGTTGTCATGCTGTACGTTATCGATACATCTTCAGTGCTTATTTATTTTAAAACCGGAAGTTTGTACCTTTTGGCCCCCTTTACGCATTTTGCCCACCCGCTGCCCCTCACCTCTGGCAGCCACCAATCTGTTCTCCGTATCTGTGAGCTTGGTGTTTGTTTTCTTAGATTGCACATGTATGTGAGGTCATGCAGTATTTGTCTTTCTCTGTCTGACTTATTTCACTTAGCATAATGCCCTCGAGGTCCATCCATGTTGTCATAAAATTTCACTCTTTTTCATGGCTGAATAATATTACATTGTGTGTATATACTATTTATTTATTTTCTTTATCCATTTATTCATCAGTGGACACTTAGGTTGTTTCCATATCTTGGCTGCTGTAAATAATGCTGCAGTGAACCCAGGAGTACATCTATCTTTCTGAGTTGGTATTTTCATTTTCTTCAGATGGTACCCAATGGTTCTGTTTTTTTACTATCTCCTGCTGGAAAATGGCAGATATCATCAATTATGTTCGTGGTTCTTAACATTTTAAGTCACAGACCCCTTTGATGAAATCTGTGGTTTCTCTTCTGAGAAGAGTGAACACACACACAAACTCAATTTTGCTATAATTTCAGGCCCATCCTTCCCTATGGAACCTTTTGTTATCAAAGAAGACAAACTATACCCATTCCTTAAAAAGGAAGAAAGTATTCTTCGTATTTATTAGGTTCTAAAAAATTTGTTTCTGTAATAACACATTTCAAACATACAGAAAAATAAATAGAAAATAAAAAATCAAATAGCAGTTATAATATTTGCTTTAGTTTTTTTAAGTAATAAAATATCACAGACAAAATAGAAACTTCCTGTTTAGCATTTTTGACCCTATTCTCCTCTCTTCCTCCTTAGTAGAAACCACTATCTTGAATTTAGTGTTTAACATTTCCACACGTATTTTATACTCTTACTGCCTTTGTATACAACTGTATACATACATACATATAATATTTTATATGATTTCAAACATTTTTTCTTTATTGTGGTAAAAAACATGTAACATGAGATCTTCTTTCTTAACAGATTTTTAAGTGTATGGTACATTATTGTTAACTCAGCGCAATGTTGTCCAGTAGAGCTCTAGAACTTCTTCATCTTGCATGACTGAAACTCTATACCCACTGAACAGCAACTCCCATCTCCCCCTCCCCTCCAGTCCCTGGCAACCACTGTTCTACTTTCTACTTCTATGAGTTTGACTGCTTTAGCTGCCTTATTATATAAGTGGAATCATGCACTATTTGTCCTTCTGTATCTAGCTTATTTCACTTAGCATAATGTCCTCACGGTTCATCCATGTCACATATGACAAGACTTCCTTCTTTTTATGGCTGAATAATATTCCGTTGTATGTTTACACCCCATTTTCTTTATCCATTCACCTGTTGATGGACATTTAGGTTGTTTCCACCTCTTGGCTGTTGTGAATAATGTGGCAGTGAACATGGGAGTGCAGATACCTCTATGAGATCCCAATTTCAATTCTTTTGAATAAAGATCCACAGGTGGGATTGCTGGATCATATGGTAGTTCTATTTTTAATTTTTTTAAGGAGCAACGATTACTGTTTTCCACAGCAACTGTCCTGTTTTACATTCCCACTGTGCACACAAGGATTCCAGTTTATATGCATACTTGTCAGCACTTGTTAATTTCTGTTTTTTAAAAATAATGCCCATCCTAATGGGTGCGAGCTGATATTTCATTGTGATTTTGATTTACATTTCCTTCATGATTAATAGTGTTGAACATCTTTTCATATACCTGTTGTCCATTTGTGTGTCTTCTTTAAGGAAAAGTCTTTAAATAGGGGGTTACATGATTTTTCTTTTTGCTATTGAGTTGTAGAAGATACTTATATAGTTGGGATTTTAACGCCTTATCAGATATATATATGTAAATATTTTCTCTTACTCTGTGGGTTGCCTTTTCAATCTGTTGACTATTTCTTCGGCTGTGCAGAAACTAACATTGCCTTTTTTGGTAGCATTTATTTATCTTTGGTATTTGTAGCTGTCCTTGATTCTTTTAAATATATGTAGTATTTCGTTATAAGCCTATATCACCATATGTTTATCTGTTCTCCTGTTAATTCATGTTTGAGTTGTTTCCAGTTTTTTGCTGTTACAAACAGTGATAACAAATGCTCTTACACATGCCTCCTCATGGACATGTGCCAGTTTTTTCTCCAGTGCACATATTCAGGAGTGGAATTACTTGGTCATAGATATGAGCTTCTTTACCTTTATTTATTTATTTATTTATTTAAAGACGATGTTGGGGGTAGGAGTTTATTAATTTATTATTTTTGCTGTGTTGGGTCTTCGTTTCTGTGCGAGGGCTTTCTCTAGTTGTGGCAAGCGGGGGCCACTTTTCATCACGGTGTGCGGGCCTCTCACTATCGCGGGCTCTCTTTTTGCGGAGCACAGACTCCAGACGTTCAGGCTCAGTAGTTGTGGATCACGGGCCCAGTTGCTCGGCGGCATGTGGGATCCTCCCAGACCAGGGCTCGAACCCATGTCCCCTCCATTAGCAGGTAGATTCTCAACCACTGCGCCACCAGGGAAGCCCTACCTTTATTAAATATTGCCAAATTGCTCTCCAAAGTGGCTGAATATATTAAAATTTTTTTATTACTATATGATATTTTGCTAGTCTGGTATGATATTGTATCTCATTGTAGTGTTAAATTGCATTGTACTGAGTGTGGACATCTTGTGTTTATTTTCCATTTAGATTTCCTTTCCATTAGTTGGCTGCCCACAGTTTTTCTCTATTTTATTAATTCAGTTGTTTATGTTTACTTCTTGATTTTTAGGAGTTTTTCTGGTATTCTGTAAATTAACTTTGTTGATTATTAAACTATCTTTTCTCAGTCGATGGCTTGATTTTTCATTTTGTTTAAAGAATCTTTTATTGTTTAGAATTTTTAAAAATTTTAACATAGTAATATTAGTCTTTTACTTTATAATTTCTACTTTTGTATCTTATTTTTTATTATTTTTAAAAATTTAATTAATCTATTTATTTTTAATTAATTAATTTTTGGCTGTGTTGGGTCTTCGTTTCTGTGCGAGGGCTTTCTCTAGTTGCGGCAAGCGGGGGCCACTCTTCATCGCGGAGCGCGGGCCTCTCGCTATCGCGGCCTCTCTTGTTGCGGAGCACAGGCTCAAGACACACAGGCTCAGTAATTGTAGCTCACGGGCCTAGTTGCTCCGCGGCATGTGGGATCTTCCCAGACCAGGGCTTGAACCCGTGTCCCCTGCATTGGCAGGCAGATTCTCAACCACTGTGCCACCAGGGAAGCCCTGTATCTTATTTTTTAAAGCCCTCATTATAGCAAGGATTTTTTTTCTAAAAGTTTTCAAAATTTTTTTCACATTTATGTCTTTAATTAGCCTGATAATGTTTCTCAATGGTGTGAAACGGGGATTTAATTGTACTTCCTTACAGATAACCTATGTCTTAGCACCACTGTTCAATAGTTCATTCTTTCCCCTGATTTACAGTACTATCCCTATTACATATCAAATTTCCAAACATATATGTCTTTTTCTGGGTGTTCTGTTGCTTTCATTTGTCTGTACTGTGTTACCGTGGTTTAACATGTCTTAACATTTTGGAGGGCATGTTGCCTGTGTTCTTCTTCAAGTTTGTCAAGGCTATTCTTGGCTCTCTTTTTCTTAAGAAGGACCCTGTAGAGAGTTTTATTAGAATCAGATTGAAATCCCACTCCATTTAAGAATATTTATCAGGTCTTCCATCCACAAACATGGTTTGTTTTTTCATTTACTCAACTTTGTAATTTTCTCTGTAAAGTGCTTGAAACTTTCTTGTTAGATTTATTACTAGAAATTTATTATTAGCTTATAGCTTTTAATTGCCTTCTTTCTCTCTCCTTTTCTTTTCTTTCTTCTCTTTCTTTTTTCTTTCTTTCTCTCTTTTTTATTGAAGCATAGTTGACATAACATTATATTTGTTTCAGGTGTACAATGTAATGATTTTCATTTTTTATGTATTGGAAAATGACCACCACAATAAGTTCAGTTGACATCTATCGCCATACATAATTACACAGTTCTTTTTTGTGATGACAACTTTCAAGATCCATTCTCTTACTTTCAAATATGCAACACAGTATTATTAACTGTAGTCACCATGCTATACATTACATCCCCATGACATTCATTTTATACCTGGAAATTTGTACTTTTTGATTACCTTCACCCGTTTTGCCCCTGCTTCCCCCCGCCCCTGTACCACATGCAGCCACCAGGTCTGTTTGCTCTATCCATGAACTTAGGAGTTTTTTTAAGTTTCTATTTATTTATTTTATACATATGTTTTATTTATTTATGGCTGAGTTGGGTCTTCGTTGCTGCATGCGGGCTTTCTCTAGTTGCTCTGAGCAGGGCCTCCTCTTGGTTGCTGTGCACGGGCTTCTCATTGCGGTGGCTTCTCTTGTTGCGGAACATGGGTTCTAGGCGCGCAGGCTTCAGTAGTTGTGGCGCGTGGGATCAGTAGTTGTGGCTCACGGGCTTTAGAGCGCAGGGTCAGTAGCTGTGGTGCATGGGCTTAGTTGCTCCGCGGCATGTGGGATCTTCCCAGACCAAGGCTTGAACCCGTGTCCCCTGTATTGGCAGGCAGATTCTTAACCACTGTGCCACCAGGGAAGTCCTGCCATTTTAAATGGTAGCTTTTCCTAATTAAATTACAAAGTGGTGTTTTTTGACTTCTAGGAATTACATTCATTTCTGTGTATTGACCTTACATCCAGCAACATTGATGAACTTGTTTTTATATTACTGTTAATAGCTTGCCTTCATAATTCTCTTTATAAATAATTATCACTTGGAGAAATTTTGTCACTTAATTTAAAATTTTATATCTCATTTTTATTTCTTTTACTACATTGACGACCTCTATGCTGTTGAATAGAAGCGATAGTTGTCTTCTTGGTCTAATTTCCTGGCTTTTAAAGGAAATAATTTATTTAATCATTAAGTATGGTATTGTTATAGGTTTTTGGTGAAATTAAGAAAGTTCTTTCTATTCTTGATACGCTAGGATTATTATTTTTTTAATCAGGAAGGTGGGTAAAGAATTAACTAAACCATTCTGTAAGGACAAACCTGACCTTGGATGAACTTTCTACTTAATTTCTCTGAATCCCGATAAGGGGGAAAGTCAACCATGTTACTAGGCAACACTGCTTATGGTAAAAATGATCTTTATTTGGTAAATATATTTGGACTGGGAGGAACTATGCATGAACTCTAAATTCTTGGTTAGAAGCAGTAGCTTTGAGCTTCCCTGGGGCACTTTTCAGAGATGGGTATGAACTTCATGGGGACCCTGGAAGCTGTGGCTGGGTAGTTATTTGAGGTATTGGTTTCTGTTTGGGACATAAGGCTTCTAAGCCAGTGTGACTCTGCACTTACCCTGTGATTCTCATTTCCTTGCACCTGAGCTGTCATCTGAATGCCCAAGAGAATAGCTCCTGGTTGGCCATATGGACTCTTAGGTGGACTCTGCCCGTGAGGAGAAATACCTGGAACTGCCTTGCTGGCATGCTGTGTTTTCTTCTTATGCTTTCTGAGTAGATGGCTGCTACTTGTGGCCTTTGGTAAGTGGGTAGCTCAGAATGTGTAGAGAGAAGTCCCACATGGGCAGTGCACAGTGCATCCAAGCAAAATGCAGAAGGAAGTGTTTACTGGGGCTGATCTGAGTTTATTACTCTCACTTATAACCTTCAATTTCTAGTTTTCACCCATTGGAAAACTCATATTCACATTGACTACAAATTAATATTATAAATTTGAACTTATAATCATAAATATATAGAATATACCATTTTAATTTTCTATGTATTAGGTTTGGTTTATGTTTGCCAACTCAGAAATGGTTCTGCTACTAAAAAAAGTTTGATAACTAATGTTTTAGACCTGTATGGTCCAATGGGTAGGTATTTGCCCTTCTAATATAGCTTTTAAAATTAAATAAAATTTTTTAAAATTAAAAGTAAATATAGTTAAGAATTCAGTTCCTTGGTTGTACTGGCCTCGTTTGAAACGCTCAGTAGCCACATGTGGCTAGTGACTCACATACTGGACAGTATAGGTTTAGAATATTTTCATCATCACAGAAAGTTCTGTTACGACGGACTTTCTAGCTATTATTTTTTACTCATTCAGATTACCTGAGAGCTTTATATTTTTACTGTATATGTTATTTGCTTTAAGAAACTGCCGGATGAACCAGTCAAGGTATCTATCAGGGACAGTATTGAAGACCCCAGTATATTACTGTATAATGATCTGCTAGAGGCATCTTTCTCAGATTGCATAGCAGGACAAATTCTGTTTCTCCTGAGACTTACCATTGCATCATGGCTAGTGTGAATTTTGTAATTGATTGGCTTTCACTTTTTGCTTTATCAACCAGATGGTGTAAGCCCACATTTATGGCCTACGTAACTGCATGCTTTTTTCTCTTATTTGAATTATTATATTTGTAAAATACAATTTTATTGTAATGGCTGCATCTTTATAGATTGTAACAAATGCTTTGAGAAAAGAGGTAGAGTATAAAAATAGTAATAAGTAAGTACCTTCAAGATTTCGATGGACACTTTTGTCACTTATTCCTTTATTGACTCATTAGGAGCCACTTGTTACTGAACCTCAGGACGGAAAAGACGTGAAGGAGCTAAAAACAGTTCTGGGCTGATTGTGATTACAGTGTGTGCACACGTAATCTGGACTGCTTTACGGATGAGGTGACTTAGAACGTACACCTGTCATAAACCCAGTTTAATTCACTTTTCTAAAACGTTTTTATTTTTCAAAATAATGTTTGAAGAACTGTCTTACTAAAATACTTCGTAAAAATTTCAGACTTTTTAATACTGCTAGGGAGGTTCAACCAAGAGCCTATTTGAGTATTCAAACTGGTTAACCGGGCTGAAACAGAGACTAGAGGACTGTTTTATTTCTTTGTGGAGTCTTCTATATCTTTTAGATAACAGAGAATTTAATTCTGGGCCTTTGTGGCTTCTCAGTGTACTTTCCTCTTTTTTAAAAAATGTCTTCTGGAACTTATAAGCAGGTCAACATTAGATATGTCTTTACTGTTTTAAACATTTTGCAACTTTCCTTGCTTCTGCAAACACTTAAAGCAACTTACAAATTTCAGGCCAAAAGTAAAGTAACTTGATATAAAAATAAAACCAATCTCACCTTAAAGAAGTTGAAGGATTAAGTATTCCCATCCGTCAATGTTGAGAGATTTGGACAATATATTTGATTTCACATTTTCTAGTTGCTCAAGTAAGAAAAAGAAACACAGAATTCTATCGTTTTCATGTACTGACAACCGGAAGCATACAAACATCTGCAGAAACCAAACATTTCCTGGAACTAACTCGGGCAGAAATTTATCACGTGAATCATTGTTTAAAGAACCTTGCGAAAAATATCTTCAACCACAGTTATGTGAAAGACCCAGGGGTGCAGCTCACGTGGACTGGGCTCTCCAGAGTCTGAGGAGGCTGCGGGAACCAGGGCTGGGAGGTGCGTGCGCCACAGGGCTGGGGGCGGTGGCTTTGGGAGCGCGGAATCCAGCACCTCTGCCGTGGGGAAACGCCAGTAAGGAAGGGGCTTAAGAAATCTCGATCGTCGGTAGCACCCTTCTGTTGTTTGTTTCTCTAAATATTTGGTGTCGTCAGCGTGGATTTTGTATCAGTGCTGAGTTTATTCTCTTGGTCCTCAAGTTCTCAGACAAATGCTTTCAGTAGAGATGTTTTATTCTGTAGATTCATGTGACGTTTTTAAGCTTTGAAGGACTCAAGCAACATTTCTTACGGAATTTCAAGAGCTGGGCTTGTATTTTTGACCATTCAGAAGTGTAGTTCACTTCAGAGTGAAGGTCAACAAGGGAATCCTTTTTTTTTCTTTTTTCCTCAAGGAGCATCTGCTCATTAATATAACTTTTCAACAGTAATTTGTGACTTCGCAACTTATGTGACATGGAAGAAACAGCTTTTGCCTGAAATATTTAAGGGCCAGATATAACAAACTATTCATCTTTTCCATGAAAAACTTCAGTGTCGTCATCATAGTGCAATTTCTTTAAAGAATGCTTGTATCCCTTGGATCTGCTAGGGTGAATTAACTGAAAAAATTTTAAAGCACTTAAGCCTGTCCTGTAGGTTATAAGGGGACCTTTACATGTTTACCAGATACAATAGTTTTAATATAGATGTTGGTTATTAGCTGCTCATTTTGGTAAAAACTGACCAATGCTTAAGATTGAGTCACAAACGTCTGGCACATAAGAAGGTGTGGTACTGGGCTTTAGGAAGGCGTCTTGGGGGGCGGGGTTTGAAGTCTGGTGATACATACCTATCATACAAGGCTATTATAAGGATTACATATGATAATGTGGATAAAATGGCTGGTACATAGTAAGTACTTAATAAATGTTAGTTCATCATCCTCTCATGTTATTGATGATGGCCATACGTTAAAGTTCTTCCAGAATTTTTATGCTGGATCATAATAAATATATATTTTTAGGCATGTTGGGATCTATCCTGATTTTAGCAGTGTTGTTTTATATTGATACTTAAGAAAGCACTAATAACATGTGTTGAAAATGTATAGTCTCTCATTAAATTATAGAATGATGATAATTTAAAAAATAATGCAAATGGTTTTGAATTTCTTGGTGGAATGAGACAAGGTTTAACAGTGTTCGAGAGTAGAATAATTGTATCAGAATTCAACTTGCTCCAGGTTTATCTGTGAAATATAATTTATCACATAAAGATACTGCATTGATAAAATATTCTTACGTAGAGTCCAGTAAGAACCAAGAGGAGGTTGGAGTCTGGGGATTGGAAATGGAAGTGTGTGCAGGCTGATACAGCCTGTAGGAGTCATAGAACTCTTGGAAGACAGGCTTACTCATGAAAAGGACCTTGGAAACATTTGGCTATCGGCTGAGAAATGCCTTTGAGAGAGTTAAAGCGTTAATAGATACACCCCAGAAGGTGAAAGGAGAACTTTGTAAAAAGAAAGCAGCCAGAGCTGGGCTCTCAGTCACTGTTCTTCCTGCCATCCAATCTAAGCCCCCGCATGGCTGTGAGGTCCCCCTACAGTCGGTGCAGCAAATAACGTAACAGTGAGAGCTCCAGAGCAACAATGCTCACACAATGCAGAGCATTAATAAGTAAGCACACACCTCCCCGGAGGAGGGAGCGGCTGGGTAGTTGCAGTGTAAGTTGAGGGAGCTGGTATTCATAGTTGAGACCCAGATGTCATATTTTAAGATGTTCTGCTTAAGTTTTAAAGTTAGTAACGTTCATATAATATAGGAAACTAAAATTTCAGTGGGAAATACAACATATCAATGATGAAATTACATTAAGACTTTGTGTGCAAGTTACTGTGCAAAATTTAATTGTAACTGCGTGGTCCTTGCTCTCCAAGAGCTTGCTGTTAAGAGCAGTAGAGTCCGGAGATTTAGTTAAATTGCCTATCCATGATATTGTTTTCACCCATTTTTTATTCAGTAAATATATATTGGAGACCTGTTAGGTGCCAGGCATTTTCATGCCACTGGAGGGATACAGTATTGAACAAAACAAAAAATTTTCCCCTTAAGAAGCTTAAATTCTACAGGCGGAAGAGAAAAAAAGAAAAATGATTTTTATTCTGATGAGAAGGGAAACGGTGGGTTTTGGGGAGTGGCATGATCTGATTTTTTTTTTTTTTTAAATCTATATGACTCTGGCCTTTTGTTTTGAGAATAGTATGCAGTGAGGCAAGGAAAGAATCCACTGGGGGACTCTTGCAATAATCTAGATAGGGATGGTGGAGGCTTAGATGGCAGTAGTGGTGGTGGAAGTAGGGAGAAGTAGGCAGAATTTAGATATATTTTTAAGGTAGAGCCAATGGGATTCGCTGATGGCTTGGTTACAGGGTGTTAGGGAAAGAGAAAAGTCAGGGATGACTTGGAGGGTTGAGTTGTCATTTACTAACGTGGGGGATCCTGTGGGAGCATCAGCCTTAGGGGGGAACATCAGGAATTTGTCACGAGGTGACGTTAAGTGTGAGATATCTATTAGACATCTGGGAGTGATGTCAAGCAGGCAGCTGAAAATACGAGGCTTGAGTTCAGGGAAGAGGTTTGGGCTCTTGTAGGTGGTATTTAAAGTGATGAGACCCATTGGGACGACCAAGGGGAAGGAGTATAGATAGAAAAGAAGACGGAGAACTGAGAGCCTTGGGTCACTCTAACATCAGGAGGCTGAGATAATGAGAAGTCTAAGAAGGAGTGGCCAGTGAAGGAGGAGAGGCAGCAGTGTGGTGTCCTGTCCTGGAAACCAAACAAGAAAGTGTTTAAAAAAAGAGAGGATCCTCTCCCTGGGGATAGCAAATGGTACCTGCCTCAGAGGTGGCTGCGATGAACTGTTTAAATGGATGAGAGAATTCATTAAAGTGCCTGCCTCAGTACCTGGCTACTGGGTGGTTCAAGGTGGAAGTCATTGGTGACTTAACAAGAGCAGTTTCAGGGGAGCGGTGGGGATAAAAGCCTGGTTGGAATGGGTTCAAGTAAGAATGGGAGGAAAGAATTGGAGGCAGCAGATATAGTCAGCTCTTCTGAGTATGCCTATGAAATTGCATTAGAGAAATGGGGAATTGATTCATGGGAATGTGGGGTCAGGAGAAAGGTGTGTGTGTGTGTGTCTGTCTCTTTCTTTTAGGTTGGGAGAAAGTACAGACTGTTAAATGCTGATGAGAATAATCCTGTATAGGGGGAAAGCTTGATGATGTAGTTGGATTTAAGATAATGAGTTGTTTTGAGCATAGGTAACAGGTTGGTGGAAATAACTAGATTGTCCTTTGTCTCTTTACCTTCTCTTCTCTGTCTTTCATTCATTCATTTATCAAATATTTACTGAAGGTTCACAAGGTGCCAAAGATCAAGCCAGGGGCTGGGTAAAAAACAGTTGATTAAGGGGTGAATCAAACAAACAATCTATACACTCTCTGGTGGAGTTTTTACTGTCTGGTGGAGATAGGCTTCCTAAAAACACACAAATAAATAAATACAGATTTCAATGAATGCTTCGTAGGAAAAGTATGGAGTACTTTTGAGAGAGAGAGAATGCCTTGGTATACTTTAGATTGGGTGGCATTTGAAGGCCTCTCAGATAGGAAAGATGGTCCTAGGAGAAAAGATGGACTGAAAAGAAAAGCATTCCAAGCAGAGGGAACAGAGCATGCAAAGCCCTGGAGCAGGGGAGAACTTGGTGCTTTGGAGGATTTGAGAGGTCATCAGTATGGCCTGAGAGGTAGGAAGGGACCAGGTTGTGCAGCACTTTGGAGGCCTTCTAAGATTTGGGATTATATCCTAATAGCAACGGGAAACTGTTGGAAAGTTTTTAGGTGGGAAGTGACATGATAAGTTTGCATTGGTGGAAAAAACTACCTGTGCTGCACTGTCATGGTGAATGGATTGGAGGCAGCAAGAGTGGGAAAAAAGAACTCCAATTTAGGCAAAAAGAGAGTATCTGTAAAATAGTGAGACTGAGATATTTACAGTTTGCTTATAAAAAAAATAGAATTGAGAATATCCTCTACTTAGCAGAATTTGCTTTGAGCTTACCAGGTTTCTCAGCACATGCAAAGAGAGCATTTTCTTGTTAAAAATAATATCAACACAGAAGAGGCAGATGAAGATGTCAGTGATTTGAGATTGCTTAACACAAAGTGAAACTTTAAAAAAGATTGCAGTAACTTGGTGAAAAATTTCAAATAATAAACTTTTTTTTCCGGAAAAAATACCAGTGACACAATATTAGAGACAGACTCTTTAAGAAAATGGATTAAAGTACTGAATATACACCAAGAATACTTAATCTACTTATGCTATTTTAAGTGTTCATATAATATAAAGAAACCTTAAATTTTTTGCTTTAATGTAGCAGATGTACATTATTTTTACTTTTTTTTTTAGAAAAAAAACCTGTATAATAAAAACAGTTTATTGATTAATAAATAAATATTTCAAAAGTTCCCCTTGGGCTTCCCTGGTGGCGCAGTGGTTGAGAGTCCGCCTGCTGATGCAGGGGACATGGCTCCAGGAGGATCCCACATGCCTTGGAGCGGCTGGGCCCGTGAGCCATGGCCGCTGAGCCTGCGCGTCCGGAGCCTGTGCTCCGCAACGGGAGAGGCCACAACAGTGAGAGGCCTGCGTACTGCAAAAAAAAAAAAAAAAAGTTCCCCTTTTCACTTTCAAAAGTATCTTAGTGTTTTGATAAATTATGTGATTAGAGATAGAGGATCTCTCCAGTTGAAGGGTCAGACTGGTAAAAAAGCCATCAAGTTATAGTACAGGATGCATATTTTATTGCGCTAATGTAGACTTCCTCCCAAAGAGATTTCTTAAAACAGAAGGGCAGTTGTAATACCAAGTATCGCTATATCAGGTCACCCACAACTCTAGGGTCATGAATTAACTTGTTGTGAGCTCTCACTTAAAAAAAAAAAAAAAAAAAGAAAAGAAAAGAAGAAACAGAAGTTACTCCCTATCTAGACAAGCCACTCCTGAGAGTTCTATCTTGGTTGTAACTCGAGTTTTCTTTCTCATACTGACATTTTATTTATGCTTTTCAGGGTGAAAAGAGTTGGGATATTTTATCATCTGGAGTTTCTCTGCCTCGCTGATGATCTAAGCTCAAACCTGCCAGTTTATGGGAGATGATAGAAAACACCCTCTAACATCTGAGTAAGTAGATGCTGCGGTGTGTTCTGATTTCCTGCTTAAAAAAAAAAAGGATAATTTTATGACTTTAAAGTTTTAAATTATCAGGTACTTTAATTGGGATCTTTAAATTTTGTTGTTGAATAGTGATGTCAATTATTGTAATTCCAATAAGTGAATATTTTTAAATAATGGGATTCTGGAAGAAATTAATCCCCTGATGATAAAAAAAAAAAAAGTTAATTTTCCATTAGCTTTTAAGGAACATATTGAGGACCTAATGTATATATTAAAAATTTAAGAGCACTCTCCTTAGTGTTTTATTTCACTTTTATATTATGAATGCAAAAATATTGGTAAGACAACTGTTAAGAATTTTTTAAATGCAACTCTATATAAAAATTGTATTTTAATACGGAGTGTATTTTGGCTAACTTGAAATAAATACTGGTTTGTTTCTTGGAAGTAGAATTTTAAAAGTTCTTTCTATTTGAAAATAAAGATTTTTTTTTCCTTCTAATATAGATAAGATTACAAAATTTCTCTGGATTTTGACTTTGTTTCTTAATTAAAGAGACTGAGAAAGAAAGGCATTCATTCTTTCTAATTAAAACTTCTGAGTGAAGTTTAAAGAGTTGAGCCAGTCATTTTGATATAAACTGTTTTTCAGAATGAAAGCTGCTAGTTCTCTTATATCCATTGAATCTCTTTTGACAAAACTAGGAAACTATGAGGCTGTACCAGGGCCTTTTTTGGAATGCTGAGGTGAATACAATTAATAAATACACAAGATTGCTTCCCACTACAATGGGGTTATTTAATTTTGGTCTGTATCTGAGCTGTTCAGTATAGTAGCCAATAGTAGCTATTGACATTTGAAATGTGGCTGGTCCCAGTTGAGATGTGCTGTGCATAAAATACACACCACATTTCAAGACTTAGTATGAAAAAAAGACTAAATAGTTTATTAATAATTTTTGTATGAATCATGTTGAAATGATAATATTTTGGATATATTGAGTGAAACAAAATATTATTAAAATTAATTTCACTTGTTTTCTTTTACTTTTTTTTTTTTTAATGTGGCTGCTAGATAATTGTAAATTACTTGTGGCTTACATTATATTTCCAGTGAACAGAACTGGCCTGTTGTATATGATCAACATGCTTAGTCATCCATTACTCAACATTCTGTAAGCCTTGACCCTTCTGGGCTGTGTATGGATCAATTAATATAAATCTATATTGTTTTAAGAATATGATTCTTTGATTCATCAAATATTTACTGAGTACCTGCTATATGCCAGACAGTCAGTCCTCTAGGTACTGGTGTTACAGTAGTGAACAAGATAAACAAAACTTCCTGCCTTCATGGAGTTAACATTCCATTAGTGAAACTAGACTAAAAACATAAATAAGTAAAATATATAATCTATTTGAAGACTTTGGAGAAAATGCAAGGAGAGGGGTTCAATTCTAAATAGATTGTTCAGGGAAGGCCTCACTGAATAGCTGTTATTTGAGCAAAGACTTGAAGAAGGTGAGAGAAAGAGCCCTATAGATATTTGGGGGAAGAGTGTTCTAGGCAGAGGGAATAGCAGGATTGTGCCTGGCTTGTTTGAATTGTAGGAGGCGAGGTGATTGATTGGAGGGAAGTGAGTGATGGGGAGAGAAGATGAAAGGTAATGGATGGTAACATCATGTGAGCACTGGTTATTGTCTATGCAGACACAGAGGTAACCTCTAGGGAACCAGGCCAGAAAACAGAAATAGGAATTTTAAAAACAAAGCAAAGTTATCAGAGGCTACACTTCATGGGGGGTAGACAGATTCTACAGTTTAAGTTCAAGCTACTTACTAAAAGAACCATCAACCCTTAGAAAACTGAGATCTGTCAACTGATGACTGGATGAATAAAATGCAGTATATCCATGTAATGGAATACTACTGGGCAGTAAAAATGAATGAAGTACTGATACATACTGCAACATGCATGAGCCTTGAAAACATACTAAGTGAAAGAAGACAGTCACAAAAGGTCACATATTGTATGATTCCATTTATATGAAATGCCAAGAATATACAAGTCCATTCATATAGCATCCAAAAAACCAAAATACTTTGGAATAAATTTAACAAGAGAACTGTAAGTCCTACATACTGAAAACTACAAAATTTTGTTGAGAGAAATTAAAGTATCCCTAAATAAGTGGGAATAAATGGAAGATTCTGTATTGGTGATGTGGCAGTTTTCTCCAAATTGATCTGGAGGTTCAACAAAGTCATTGCCAAAGTCTCAGACAGGATTTTTGTAGAAATATATTTATAGAAATTGGCAAACAGATTCTAAAATTTATATGGAAATGCAGAAGATCTAGAATAGTCAAAGTAACTTCAAAAAAGCAGGAAGTTGGGAAAAAAAGAAGAAAGTTGGAGGACTTATATTACCTGTTTTCAAAACTTATCATAAAGCTATAATAATAAGAACAGTGTAGTATTTGCCTACGGATAAACATGTAGATCAGTGGAACAAAATATCTAGAAATAGATACATATGTGGTCAGTTGCTTTGCAGCAAAGGTACTAAGGTAATCCTATAGGGACAGCATAGTCCTTTCAATAAACAGCGCTGCAGCAATTGGATTTCCACGTGAAATAAAATGTACCTTGACATTTACCTTACAATATACACAAAAATAACTTAAAATGGATCATAGACCAACATGTAAAGAAGCAAACATAGCAGAAAGTCTTGTGTCCTGGGTTAGACAAAGATTTAGTCAATAGGATATAAAAAGCATGAAGTATTAAAAAAATGATAAATTGGACTTCATCAGAATTAAAGTTTTACTTTTCAGAAGATACCATTCTTAAGAAAATGAAAAGTCAAGCCACATAACTAGGAGAAAATATTTACAAAACGTATGTCTGATAAAGGATTTGTATGTAGAAAAAAAATAAAGAACTCTTAAAATTCCGTCATAAGACAGCAATCCGATTTAAATATGTACAAAAGATTTGAAGAGTCATTTCACCAAAAAAGATATATGAATGGCAAATAAACACAAGGAAAGAGTTTCAACATCATTAGTCATTAGGGAAATGCAAATTAAAGCCATAATGATATATTGCTGCACACCCACTATAATGGCTAACATTAAAAAGACTAACAATCCGTGTGTTGGCAAGGATGTGGAGAAACCAGAATCCTCACCCACTGCTGACTGGAATATAAAGTGGTACAGGTATGTTGCAAAGCAGTTCGGCAGTTGCTTAAAAAGTTCAACATACACTTAACAAATTATCTAGCAATTCCATTCCTATAAATACATTGTCAGGAGAGATAACAGCATATGTCCATACAAAGACTTGTATACAGTGTTCATAGAAGCTTTATTTGTGATTGCCAAAAACTGGAAATAATGTAAGCATCCATCAGCAGATGAATATATAAGTCCATACATTGGAATGCTGTTCAACAATGAAAAGGATTGGACTATTCATATATACAATGGCATGGATGAATCTCAAAATAATTATGCAGTATGAAAAAAAGCCAGATTCCCCCCGCCCCCAAGTGCCATACTGTCTGATTCCATTTAATTGAAATTCTAGAAAATGCAAACTAATCTATAGTGACAGAGAGCAGATCCATGGTTGCCTGAGGATGGCTCAGGAGAGGAGGGAGAGAAGGATTCCAAAGGAAGGGGCACAATGAAACCCTGGGGTGATGTATATATTCATTATCTTGATTATGCATAGTAGCTTCATGGGTGTATACATACATCAGAATTCCTCAAATTGTATACGTAAATATGTGCAGTTTATTGTATATCAATTACACCTCAATAAGGTTGTAAAAAAATTATGTCCATTCAAAAACCAAGCATATGTTCATAGCAGCTTATTCACAGTAGACAAAAACGGAAAACAATCCAAATCCATCAGCTGGTGAATGGATAAACAGAATGTGTGATATCCACACAATGGAATATTATTCAGTGCTGAAAAAGAATGAACTCCTAATTCATGCTACATAGTACAACATGGATGAACCTCAAAAACATTATGCCGGTTGAAAGAAGCCAGAAACAAAGGACTGTATGTTGTATAATGCTATTTATATGAAATTGTAAGAAAAGGCAAAATCATAGATTAGATCAGTGGTTGCCTGGGGCCAGAGGTGGAAGCAGAGTTTGGCTGTAAACAGGTAGGAGGGAGCTGTTGGGATGATGGAAGTATTCTTATTGGCAGTCGTGCGGCTGTTTATGTATAAACTTACTGAAACTCTTCTGATCGTACCATTAAAATGGATGACTTTCATGGCATGTAAATTATACCTCAATAAAGCCATTAAAAATAGGTGGCCACTCAAAATTTTAAATGCTCTTTAAGTGGACCGTTCAAGAAATGGGACAGTATTGCTAATTTCATTGACCTCTAGTGCTTTGGAATACTTTGAGACCTATTGAATTAATTTCTATGTCAGATGTTCTTTGAATTCTAATTGTGAAACAGAAATCATTATTAGTTGTCTTTCCCAGAATTTAGTGACCAGTAACAGCTGCATTTCCCTTGCATGTGAACATTGATTTAGAATGATTGGCTTTATGTTTAACAACGATTAACACCACCACCACCACCCTCCCCCCGGCCAGAAGAAATGGTAGTTTCTTAGATTGATACTCTATTTGTGCACAGTAGTTCAAAAGTGTAGGTTATCCTCCACCTCTCAGTTCTTCACAAAGGAAACTGATGACAGCTTAACACCTTTGCATTTTTTAGATGCAGAGAGGCACACCCTTCTAGGTGCCCACCCACCTGTTCCCAACACCATATATGTGGAGACAGCAAGTAATCTGGACATAAGGTCCTTGGGAATGGGAGGTAGAGTGCAACCGAGAGAGCTCCCCTGGAGCACTTTGCAGCTGGGTCTGGCCATGTTCTGCACCAGAGTACGAATCAAGGTCTCTGGGGAGACTGAATTTTACTTCCTTAGATAAAAATCAGAAAATGACCTAATTTTAATGAAAAAATTAACAACTCTAGAACATCTTGCCTGTGATTCTGCCTAAGTCTATTAAAATAGAAAAAATTTATTCTGGAAACAACCCAGTTCTTTACCCGAAATTCATTCAGCCATTTTCCCAAATAAAGTACCAGTTATTTAACCAAATTTTTCTTTTTCTTTTTCTTCCTCCCCCCTCCAAAGCAAATCCTTTATTCGACAAAGATTTATGGAACACTCATCTTTGTCAAGCACACCAAAGATAAGACATACCTACAAGGATAAAAGAAGCATGGAATTGAGGGTGGGGGCCTGATGATATGTAACCTGCCTCCTTGGAAGGAGGGGCGTTCAGAGAGAGGTTGGGGAAGCTTTGGAGCAGGGAACTTGGAAAGCTGAGATTTGGAGGATGAACAGGACTTGGCTGTTAGCCAGGTTGTTGGGTGTGGGGCGGGGGAGTTGCGAGGACCTTAAAGCTGTGGCATTGGGTTTAAAGAAGAGAGAATAGGGTCAAGAGATGCAGTGAGTCCGAGTGACTTGACTTTGTGACTGGCAGAATTTGAAGAATGTAGGAGAAAAAGACATCAAGGATTAGTTCAACTTTGCCCTTGGCCATCTCAACAAGTGGTGATACCATTCACACCGGGTGAGAATACAAGACACCCAGGAGGTTTGTTTGTTTTGATCGTTGCTTTGGGAAACCAATAATTCACTCTAGAGGTTTTATCAGAGGAGTGCAGCTATTTGCATACACCTGACTGAACTTTAAAGATGCCCCTCTGTGACCCATCATCCCCTGGGTGAACACACATGGAGCATTAGGGAGGAAAGTGAAAACTGACGTGGTCTTGGGGGTGTCTGTGTTTGTTCATTATCTCGGGCTTTAGTGGATCTCATGTTTACAGGTAAAATCACTGTTGAAAACTTCAGGGCAATTACAGAGAGGAATAATGCTTGGACATGAAAACCTATCATGTTTAAGAATTTAGTAATTCCTTTTTATTACTTTTATCTACTTGACCTCTTGTCTCCACATTTTTATCATATATAAAGTACATTCTTTATACTTCTTTGGTCCAAAGAAGATTAAAAGGGTAAATTTTAGAAAAGACTGCTCCATCCTTTATATGTATTAGCTCATTTAACTTTTAAAATAACCCTGTAAAGGAGGTACTTTTAATCCTATTAATTCTTGATAAAGATTAATAATAAAAGTATTTGGAAATCAACGGGTTTAAAATTTTTTGATATGCCTAAACACAAAGCATAAATTCTTATTCCTATCCATTGACATTAGCATGTAAATGAGGATGACAAATTATTATTTTCGAAATTCTAATCATTTCTACCTTGTCCTTTTGAAAGAAGTACACTGGTAACAAATAGATCCACGATACACAAAATAATACTCTATACTTTTTGAGAATATTGAAAACTAATTTGGAAAATAACTCCTCTTCTTTCTGAAAATTTTTGCCCACTCTGCACTTTCCTGTCTTTTTAAATCATGAATATATTACATTAAGCCAAAGATACTATGTAAACGGTTGCTTTGAAACTACATAAAACAGAAGTTAAAATTAGGTTTTACTTACTGCTTCCAACTTATCTTTTAATAATATGTGGTCAGATCCTGCTTTAAATGTACTCTTGGTTGAGGTACCTTGAGGAAGTAAGTTGCTTGACCTCAGTTAGGCTGTTTCCTTGTCTATAAAAACACAGGCAATGAAGTACATGCTCCAGTGCTCTGAAACTCAGAAATAACTTCTTGGGCATGAGTGCCAATGTAAGCAGGCAGTTTTCTTTTGTGCCACAAGAGGGCGTGCCTGTGTTGTTGCTAACCGGAGCTGAGGCCTGAATTCCTTTGCAAGATGTGGCTGAAAAGTTAGGGACAAGTAGATTGCTGGGAAAATGTGAAAGAAAAAGATTATTTTGACAGTGTCAAGGGAAAGAGGTACTCGAAACATAAAGTGATGTGAAGGGAAGGAGTGTGAATAAGATCCCTTTAAGATGTGAAAATTTTCGCGACATAGATCATTACAGATTTCCATTGCCAGTCAACAACCTTTTTTTTTTTGCCTATATCTGAGAAGTTTTATGAATTTTGTTTTCCTCCTTCTTTGCAAATGTGTTTATAAATCAGTTATATCAAACAAATATAGAACCCAAAGTTTAGTTTCTTAGTAGTGGTCTTGAGTGATTAATGTTGGTTAAAGTTAAGTTGGATTGTTTGTTCTCAGTGCCTTGGATATGTACAAAATCTGTTTGCCCCAAATTAGGAAAATTTGAATGTTTTCTTCCTGCCTCCCTCCATGCACTTTTTCCCCTTTGTTTGAGTTTCTGAGTTCTTTGATGTTTTGCTGTCATACATAGCTCAGAAAGTTGGGTGGGGGACAAGGAAGAACATTGTTCTGTGAACCAACCCTAGGGACGTGGAACTAATTTTAATATACAGTGAAATCTTTACAATTGACAAGATCAGAGCTGTACAAATACAGTGACACTGGCAGTTGTGGAATTATTCTGATAAATTTAGCGAAATCATTTCATCTCAGCTATGTGACTGTTTCATGTGAATGTGTTCTTTAATTTAAATTATCCAGGCAACGCCTTTATTTTGCTAGTATTTTTTATTATAAATACAAAAGTCATGAGCATGTTGTGTTTTACATAACTGTAATTGTACTTTTAACACTTTTTGTATTGGAAAATGTTCTGAATTTAGAAAGAATGATCCATAGGCATCTCCTTTTACTCTGAATCCTACTTTTAGAAGTTTTCTCTGGGGTTTGTTCCTGGTAATAAACGCTATCCAAGTTCAGAGGCAGACTGCCCAGGTTCAAATTATCGCGCTGCTGTGTTTGAAATGTGACAAAAGCAAAGTTAGCCTAATAATTTCTCTCTCGTTTGAATCTGATAGTTTCTTGAGCAGGAGAAAGAGAAGTGGAAACACTGTAGAAAATTATGCACTTTATCTGTGTGGCAGCCAATTTCAAACCATCTTCCTGGTACACTCTAAGGAGTTAAAAACATGTTAAATACTTTGAGATGGCAACATTTTAAAGAGAAAGAATATAAAAGAAAAAAGAACTCTGTAGCTCCGTTTTCTTTGCTTTCACCATGAAATGTGATCTTGTTTCAAAATATGGGAACACCCTGTGATAAACTCTTGTCCACATGAATGTCATCTGTCTTCTTTATTTTGGTAAAAAGAAGGTAGAGAATAGCTGATAGAGGGGCAAGCTGTTCTTTTAAAGTTACTTTTAAAAATTATGGAATATTTCAAGCATATAAAGAAAGCATAAGGAATAGTATATAATTAAAGTGTTATGTAATTAGTAAAACACTATGTGTGTCCTTCCTAAGCCTGTCTCCTTTTCTACCTTACAGAGGTAACTACCCTGAATTTGGTTTTTATCATTCTCTTGAATGTTTTTACGCTTCTGTTACATATGGATGTATTCCTAAACGTAGATAGAATTGTGGTACCTGTATTTTTTTTTTACGCTCTTAAGAAATTTCTTAAGTGTTCAGTACATTATTAACTGTAACTACTGTGTTGTCCAGCAGAGCTCTAGAACTTTTTCGTCTTGCACAACTGAAACTATACACACTAAAACAGCAACTCCCATTTCCCCTGACAGCCATCATGCTACTTTGAACTTCTGTGAGTTTGCGTACCTTAGGTGCCGCATACAAATGGAAACCGTGCAGTATTTGTCTTTCTGTGACTGGCTTATTTCACTTAGCATAATGTCCTCAAGGTCCATCCATGTTGTCCCATATGACAGGATTTCCTTCTCTTTTAGGGTTGATTAATATTTTATTACACATATTCTTTATCCCTTCATCCATCAATGGACATTTAGGTTGTTTCCACCTGTTAGCTGTAGCAAATAAGGGAGTGCAAATACCTCTTTGAGATCCTGATTTCAGTTGTTTTGGATAAATATCCAGATGTGGAATTGCTGGATCATATGGTAGTTCTATTTTTAATATTTTAAGAAATCTCCATACTGTTTTCCATACCAGCTGCACCATTTTACGTTCCCAGCAACAGTGCACGAGGGTTCCAATTTCTTCACATCCTTACCAACATTTGCTTTTTTTGGGGTGTGTGTGTGCGTGTGTGTGTGTGTGTTTAATAATAGCTATTCTGACAGGTGTAAGGTGACATCTCATTGTGCATTTGCATTTCCCTGAAGATTAGTGATGTTGAGCATCTTTTCATATACCTGTTGGCCATGTGTATGTCTTCTTTGGGGAAAAGCCTATTCAAGTCCTTTGCACATTTTTAATCATTTAACTTATTTATTTATCTATTTGTGTATCTATTTATTTATGCTGTTGAGTTGTAACAGCCCTTAAATATCATGGATATTAACCCTTTATCAGATATGTGATCTGTAAATATTTTCCCTCATACTGTAGGTACTCCTTTTCACTCTGTTAGATTGTTTGCTATGCAAAAGCTTTTTAGTTTAATGTACAGATGTTTGTCTGTTTTTGGTTTTGTTGCAAGACCAGTGTCATGAAGCTTTTCCCCTATGTTTTCTCCTAGGAGTTTTACAGTTTTGGGTCTTGATGTTTAAGTCTAATCCATTTTGAGTCGACTTTTGTATATAGCATAAGATAAGCGTCCAATTTCATTCTTTTGCATGTGGATATCCAGTTTTCCCAACATCATTTATTGAAGAGATTGTCTTTTCCCTTTAGTGTATTCTTGGCACCCTTATTGAAGATCTACTGACCTATATGCGTGGATTTATATCTGGAGTCTTTCTTCTATTCCGTTGGTCAACGTGTCTGTCTTTATGCCAGTACCAGTTTGAGAAGAATTAGCTTTAATACTTCTTTAACTACTTGATAGAATTCACCAGTGACCATTGGTCCTGTGCTTTTCTTTGTTGGGAAGTTTTTTTTTTTTTTTTTTTTTTTTCCCGGTACGCGGGCCTCTCACTGTTGTGGCCTCTCCCGTTGCAGAGCACAGGCTCCGGACGTGCAGGCTCAGCGGCCATGGCTCACGGGCCCAGCCGCTCTGCGGCACGTGGGATCTTCCCGGACCGGGGCACGAACCCGTGTCCCCTGCATCGGCAGGTGGACTCTCAACCACTGCGCCACCAGGGAAGCCCTGTTGGGAAGTTTTTGACTACTGATTCAGTCTCCTTAACACTCTTCAGATTTGGTCTTCTTCATGATTTGGTCTTGGTGGGTTGTAGGTTTCTTGGAATTTTTCTGTTTCTTCTGTGTTATCCAGTTTGTTGATATATAATTATTCATTGCAGTCTCTTACAATCCTTTTTGTTTCTGCAGTATCAGTTGTGAACGTTTCCTCTTTCATTTCTGATTTTATTTATTTGAGTTTTCTTTTTTTCTTAGTCTAGCTAAATGTTTTGTCAGTTTTGCTGATTTTTTTCAAAAAGCCAACTCTTTCGTTAATTTTTCCCTATTGTTTTTCTACTCTCTATTTTGTTTATTTCTGCTCTAATCTTTATTATTTCCTTCCTTCTGCCAACTTTGGGCTTAGTTTGTTCTTGTTTTTCTAGTTCCCTGAGGTATATGGGATCTTTCTTCTTTTCTAATGTAGGTGTTTACCACTATAAACTTCCCTCTTAGTATTGATTTTATTATATTCCATAAATTTCAGTACGTTGTGTTTTCCTTTTCGTTTGTCTCAAGATAGTTCTAATTTCCCCTTTGATCTCTTCTGTGACCGGTTGGCTGTTCAAGACTGTGTTGTTAATTTCCACATGCTTGTGGATTTTCCAGTTTTTCTTCTGCTATTGATTTCTAGTTTTGTTCCATTGTGGTCAGAACAAATACTTGGTATGATTTCAGTCTTCTTAAATTTGTGTGGTACATGTTTTCAAACAAGATATAAATTGTACCTGTTGAAAGGAGAGCTCCAAGGAAAGCAGACTCTGAGAAGGAGATTAACAGGCAGGAGGTTTATTAGGGATATTTTAGGATTAACACCTGTGAGAGAGAAGGACGTGGGATTGGGCAGAGAGAGAGAAATTAGGCTGCAGTGCAGTCACAAGAAAGGCCTTAGCCAATGCCAGAGGGAGCCCTGGAGGTGGGACAGCCCCTCAGAATTGTCCTAAGTTGGGGCAAGGAGCCAAGCATTCACAGCCTCGCTGTGACCAGTTATCAGGCATCGGCTGCCCCTGGAGAGGGGACCTGACTTTGACAAGGTGACTCTTTTCAGCTGAGGGCCGTCAGCCTGCAGCACTCTAGTAGCTGGGGGAATAAGCCCTTCATCCATAAAGGGAGACCTGAGCAGCATATCTCAGCATCCATCACTTAGTACATATCATGTGCATCATCACAGCTTGCCTTTTTGGTCCAATATTGTGTTTCTGAGATTTACTCATGCTAATATCTATAGCTGTAGTCACTCATTTTATTTGTTTTTACAGTATTCTGTTTCATAAATACGTCACCTTTTTAAAATACATTTTCCTGTCGAGAGACATTTTAAGTTTTGCAATTTTTTCACTATTGAAAAATGTGACTGTAAGCATTTTTTTGTATCTCCTTAGTGCATGTACTTAGTTCATCTGGGGTATATAACCAGAAAATTCCTGGGTCTTAGAATGTGCACCACTTCAAACTGAGTAACTGTAATGAAACTGCTCCCTACAGTGCTTGTACCTTGCTCCGTATCCTCACAAACACTTGGCATTGTCAGATTTTAATTTTGCCATTTGATGGGTATAAAATGGTATCTCACTGTGGTTTTAATAAAAATTTTGTTGATTACTGGTGAGATTGAGAATGTAGCTACTTGAGTGTCTTCAGTGAAGTGTGTATGCCAGTCATGTGCCCCCTTTTCCTATTGGTTTCCTTTTCTTATTAATTTAAACAATCTTTATTACCCCCTTCTTTACTGTCTGTGTGTGTACAGTTATCTTCTCCTGGTTTTGGGCTTGATTATTCACTTTTTAAATAATGCTTTTTGTTGAATAGGAGTTTCCTTTTTTTTTTTTTTTTTTGCGGTACGTGGGCCTCTCACTGTTGTGGCCTCTCCCGTTGTGGAGCACAGGCTCTGGACGCGCAGGCTCAGCGGCCATGGCTCACGGGCCCAGCCGCTCCATGGCATGTAGGATCTTCCCGGACTGGGGCACGAACCTGTGTCCCCTGCATCGGCAGGCGGACTCTCAACCACTGCACCACCAGGGAAGCCCAGGAGTTTCCTTTCATGCAGTCAAATTTAATCAGTCCTTTTTGCATTGTTTCTTTGTGTCTTATTTGAAAAATTCTTCCTCAGGCTGAGGTCATATAAAAGTATTCTCCTCTGTTTCCTACTAAAAGTTTTAAAGTTTTGCTTTTCACAGGTTCACCTGCAATCCATCTAAAATGGAGTTGTGTGTATATTGTGAGTTGTAGTTACCTCATTTTATTTTCCCGTGGACAGCCAGTTTTCCTAGCAGCATTTATCAGTGGTGCATCTTTTCTCTACTGACGTGCAGTGCCATCTTGCCACATCAAGTTTCCATCTATGTAGGTCTTTTTTGTTTTATTGGGGTTTTTTTCTTGCTTCAGTTCTACACTTTCTTTATGATATCTTTATTTCTTTATTGTATCTTATTGTCTGGTAGGGTAAATCCTCCCTTCTCCTCGTTCTTCTTTAAAATTGTCCCAACTTTTTGCCTTTTGTCTGACATGCATTTTGGACTTAGATTACAAGAAGAATCTTCCTTGGATTGAGTTCATGCGTTGACTTTATAGATTAATTTGAGGAGTCTTGACATCTTTGCAGAATAGATGTTTCCTGTCAATGTCATCTTTAATATCTATATCTAGGTATTTGTACTGCACACATAATTTTTATACCTTACCTTTTTACTAAATACTGACATTTTGCATGTTAATAAATACATTTCTTAATCAACAGTTTAAGGTCTACGTAACCATCCATTTATTTAATCATGCCCCTATTGACAGATTAACACAGTTCACAATGATTTTTCTTGAACTTACATCTTTCCCATCACTAAATTATGTATAAATATTCACTTGTGTTTTATTCTTGTAATGCTAGGCTGTTATATAATTAAACATTTATCTGGAATAGATTCAGAGGTAAGATGTGAGAAAAACATCTAACTTACCCCATGGGGTTGGCTGTATTCACATACTTTGTCCTTTTGGTCTGACTTTGCC